CTCATCCAGTCTTTTATGATAAATACTGAAGGGGCTAGGAAATGGGTCACTCTTCAGCACCTGCACAACCTCTACATTAATCATAGCACAGGTTTTCTGAACCAAAAAAAGAGCAAAGGCAGAACTTGGCCAATAGCTCTGCATGTCACTAATTTGGCTCAGTAAGTCTGCACGTCTGAGTTCAATTAACCCTTATTTCCAAGGCCACCCATAAACTACCAAGTAAGCACCATTTCCCCTTGTTTTATATCAATGAAATAGATTTTTCTTTTGGGAGTTGGGGAGGGGGGATGTTATTTACTTACTAATGAAGGGTGTGTTTTATCTACCTTTGAAATACTCAATACGGCAAATCACAAGTTTTGACATTGCCAGTAGCTCCTTAATTTATTTGTATCATTAGACACTCTGGTTGCCCAGCAGGTGATGATAGGGCATCCCCAGTAAAAGTGTTTGTATATTCGTGTGAGCATATGCACACACATAGAGAACGTTAGCAGTTAAATAAATATAGAAGCAGAAGAAGTCCCCCACTTCTCTATAATTATTTTTCATATTCATTTCCCCCCCCTCTCTCTCCGCCTTTGTGCGAAGCAAATTGGAAATCTCGTAATTAGGCCTGACTCTTAGTGTAGTATTAGACTCCCAAGCCAAAGGTCAACACCCTGAAATGAAATTTAAACCAATTAATCAGTTAGATTTTTACTGCTTGTCCGTGTTTTCTCAGCAATTCCCACAGCACGTAGCCTTTGATCAATTCTGCAAAAGCTAAAATGTGTGCCTGCTGCTAGCGAGATGGGAATGACATTAACATGGCACTCATAAAACAATCAGAGCAGTGAAACCCTCAAACAGAACAGGGCATAGTAATATTTAATAAAAGCAGGCACATAATCTTCAGAATTAGCATTTTGTGCCTTGCTGTACCTTTGGGAGAAGAGCTTTTATTTGTGGAGTGATCATTATTATAACAAAGAACAGCTACCTAATAATTTCCACTTTTAGTTGGCAATATGCTATGAGCATTTCTGAACAATTATGCTAAACTGAGGCAGGGTAATCATTTTATTGTCACTGTTTGAAGGGAGGAAATTCTCTACCCACAGCGGCTACAAAAATGGGAGAAAACCCCACAAAGGGCAATGTAGTTAATGATAACAACTTTGGGGAAGCCCTTGTACTTTAAGTGGCATTTGCTTTGTGCCTAAAAACACAAGTAAAAAAAAAAAACCAAACTAGGTTCTGAAGGCCAGAACTGCATTCGTGCATTCACTTTTCTTTTCTTGATCTAACAAGTACAAGCCAAAATGCCAGGATAGTGCCTATTCGATTTGTAATAGATTCAATTTGTGGAAATTTTTTAGATTCCTCAGAGAAATGCTTCTAAATTTTAGTAGGTTCATTTCCTGTCCTTTTAGAGAAGGCTTAGACATTTCTTCTGAGCAGAATTTTCCAGATTTTTGTCTGCATTTTTGCTGCTATGAAAGAAACTCTACTGGCACCTTGGTCATATGTGGACTATTCCCTTCCCAGGTTTTCTAGGAACAAACCCAGTCCTTTTTTTGCCTTGCTTTCACTATTATAAAGTACTTTTGCTTTGAGCACAATTCAGTGACAATCTAAATATGCAAGGTCATTGATTTCATAAAGATCACAAATCGTACATTTCATTTAGTATGATAGAATGATTATGTAAGGGGCTATATAGGTCATGTATCATGCATGAAGTGTTAGTTTGATTCAGTACAGCATGCATTTAAAATGCTTTCAGTATTGATGACACTTCTATAGATTATCTTGTACACTGTCATGAATTATACTTTTTATAGTAAGGAGATGCACAGGTAGGCATTTGAGAACTGAAAGAACTGCAGGCCTTGTACATCAAATCCAGATACTGTAAACTACAACCACCAGACCAATCACTACATTAAGAAATTGCAACTTCTTAATTATACTCATAAACCTAAGAGCCAAAAGAATCAGCATGCTAAGGATGCATATGCAGTGAAATAAACAATGAAACAAGTAACAGATGCAAGTGGCATGGCCCCAAATGGAAGCAGAGGCTTACTTCTATTATGATCATTTATGGTCACTGAATATGCAAATGTCAGCTTTGGCTAGGGATGGGTAAGTGCCACAGACTGGATCTCTCTCACCTGACTGGGACTATCCTGGAGGAAGGAGGAGAATGAGCAAACAGAATACCGCCTTCCCCCAACTCCCAAAGCAAGTGCAGAAGGGTATCATTGATGACATCAAAAGCTATTAAAAAGTCAAGAAGAATGAGGATAGCTACATTGTCCCCATCCTGCTCCCATCAGATGTAAACTAATAGTTTAATGAATGCTATTTCACTCCCATAACCCACCCTGAACTCTGAATGAAAAGAGATATTCCACTTCATCCAAAGTCCTCTGTAGTTGCTTTGTTCTCAACCTTTTCCCAAAAGAGAAGTTTATAGACTGGATGAAATGGCCCTTTCAGGATAGGGCATGCCAATGCCTCCTTGAAAGCCAATAAAATCACCCCGTCCCTCAAAGAATTATTAACCACCACCCAGATGTAATCATTCATCCTCTCCCTTGGCATCCTTAACCAGCCAGAAGCAACAGGAATCTAACATAGAGGTAGCTAAACTGCAAGAGAGCTATCCACATTTTCAAGTGCAAAGGCATCAGACTCTCTCCATATGAACTTCTAAGTCTTAGCCCCATTGGGTAAATTTCCATTGGCACTGTCCTAAAGTGAGAGTCCAATATAGAGCAGATGCAAGTGACTTTATCTCTGAGATGCACAGCATAATCTTCACAGTGACCCTATAGATAAACTCTTGAGAAGAGATCAGGTCACCCAAAATAGGGCTGCTGAATGGGTATCTGCAAATGCAATAAGGATGGAGAATTAATCATGTTTCACTACCCTTACCACCAGGGTAGGCTTTAATTGTCTTCACTCTCTGTAATTTGCCAGCAATGCTCTAGACATCTCTTAGTCTCTTTAAATTCCTCAACTCCTCTGTATACCGCAAAGAGAGTGGGAACCATGGTCATGGAGAGGCTACTCAGACACAATCTAATCCAGTTCAAAGCCATGGCTTGTCTTTCATGCCATCTAACCACCAAGGCTTTCTTTGGACCATGTAGAAGACTTTCCAGAACAACCTCAAGCTCTCTCTGATATCCTGTTGGGTATATCAGTTAGGGATGGGAGGATCTAATAGGCCTATTTCCTTCCTTCCTTCCTTCCTTCCTTCCTTCCTTCCTTCCTTCCTTCCTTTCCTCCCTCCCTCCCTCCCTCCCTCCCTCCTTCCCAAACAAGAATAATTATATCATGCTAATACAGAAGCATGAAAATACTCAGCATTATTTGTTCTACGATCATTAAATTTGGTGAATGTTTAAGAGATTATTAAACTCCTTAGGTCTGCAAGATTATCTTACTAAAATATAATTCTGAATTGCTTCTGCAAATTGTTTATGTTCTTATATCCTAAAGAATGTTAGCCCCCAACCCCACCCCCCAAAAAAGCACTGAATATCATGATGTACTTAATTGACAACTTGCTCTTAACTGGCTGCATGGTAATTTGGGAGGAAAAAGAGAGATGGCATTTTGCTTGGGGAAAAAAATCATAATTCTTTTGGTTATTTTTTGCTCTATTCTAATTGCTTAATATTTTTATTCATACTCACTCACTCACACACACACACACACACACACATGCTTTATCATTTGTGCAATGGTAGAATGCAGAAAGAAGAACCATTCAACCATTCAATGGTGAATGGTTAAAAACTCTATTAATGATATGTTCTTTGCCTGCTTAATATTTATTTACATTTTTATTTATTTTCTATCTGTTTATATTTATATATACTGTATGAAAAGGAAAGGAAAAAATGACTTATTTCACATTTTTCAACAACTTCATATTAAACAGCTGCTTTTAAATAAAGCCTGGGTATAAGAACAAATCATGTATTTTCTATTACCATTTTCCCGCATATGCAAAATCCATTCAAACCTATTTATCTTCAGAGAAACCCTGTGTCTTGGGTCAGTAGTTTCATTTTTTTTAAAACTGGAATTGAGTCTGGTCTGGGAAGAAGAAACTTGCAGATGGTTATAATCGTGCACATAAATGGGATTGAACTTGAGCCCCAATGATATCATTCTCCCATATCCATTTGTATTTGGATATAAATACCTGAAGGTTGCTCCAAGTCATTCTCTTTGCTTGGAGGGCAATCACCCTGTGTGGGTATGTACCTGTGTGCATACGTGTGTGCACAGGCATGCATGTGCAAGCAGGTGTACACCTATATCTAAATGCCTATGTCTAAATACTAGACAGTAGGAATTTGGGTTCAAGTGTAGTTTAAACACACATGGTCTACCAAAGTCTTGGAAATAGTCATTACACAACATAACACAGCTTCAACTCTCAAAGACTTTGTCACAGTTTATAGAGAAAGGGAAGATAATCTTGGAACAAGATGATTATATACTCCCTTGAGAGAGTAGTAGCTCAGTCCAACATAATATGAGCAGATTTGCATATACATAAAAGGAATTTCTTTACTCATTCTCCTCTTAATCCACACAACATATATTCTTCAGGGAGTCCCCAAGCCATTCAGAGCAGAGTTCGGCAATATGTAGGAAGAGAAAATTGATCTTCTAGCATTTTCCAGCTAATTTTTTTTTTTTGCTGATTTTGAAGTTAGTGCTAGGTTGGAAGATGACCAAGAAAATCCCAGAATTTAGGCTAGACTTGGAAATTGAAAAAATAATCTAGAAAAAGACAAAATCAAGCTGTTTAGATAATGCTTCTAAGAAATTTATATGGATGTGTCCATAATTCATCAGGGAATGCATTTGATTTGGTTTATCCTGCTCATTGGAGGACCCCATTGTTTATTTCCATAAAAGAATTTAAGAATGTTCCTTTCCACAGGCAGGTTTTTACTTGCCCGTGAAGATGTGCTTAACATGGCAGTCATGCAGAGAATAAGATACTGTAGATAAAAGAAAGAATAACAGTGAGTCATCTTTCAGTCTTGGCATAACAAAACTGTGCCATCTCTGAATTAGATCCAAAGGTGAAGCCTTGAAAAACTGTAGTAGTTTTTGAACCAAAAAAAATATACCCCCAAATGGCATGGACATCCCTTATACCATAATGCCTAAAGTGAAAAGTTAAAAAGGATATATAAATGGAAGTTGCTCAGTTCTTGGTCATTTACTTCATGTTGCCTCTTTTTAGATTAACTCTAGGATTATACAAATTCATTATAACTAGACTAGAGAAATTTTCTAGTATTAACTGTAGATTTTTGTGCTCTGTTCAATGATTGGTAATTAAGTTTCATCCTTTCAAAAATTAATCAATATTATAAAGCCTACCATCTTTGGATTCATTAAAATATATGCTATTGCTAACCAACATATGGTTAAAAATAGGACTGTGGCTTCATTTTCTAATATGTAATGGCATCTTTTTCAAAGATAATCCATTTCCCCCCTAAACCTTTGCAGAGATCTGTTGTGTTTCCAAATACGCTCTGTATAGATTTTCATGGCTGCAAAGTACCAAAATTATTTAAACATAATGATACATCATGGCTATTTGCCATCAAAAACATTGTAATCATGAGGCAGGTTTACCAAAGTCCTTTATGATGAATCTCCCAAAAAGAAGAAGGCAGGGTCATATTTTGTACAGGCAGGAACTAAGAATTTGAAGAATGCACTCTTTTCTCCAGCCAGTCAGTCTTCGACTACAAGTCTGCTCTTTTCTTTCAATGGGCTGCCAACTAAGATTATCTTTTAAAGAGGAAAAAAATGGGAACAAAATTAAAAATTAATGGGGAATCATTCTTTTCAAGAATCTATTCTAGAAATTTTTCTCCCACAAAAGAGGGGGACAGTGTGAGCTAGACACAGAAAGGGATCTTCATATTAGAAAGAGGAGGGGTAATCAAAGTTTTCTCTCCCCCCACCCAGGTCTTTTATCATTAAAATCCTATTCTAACAGCCAAATCCTTCTTTTTCATGTGTGTTGGAAAGCAGCTACACCCTGTATCAAAGCCATCAGTCCAAGTGAAGGATGGACCACGGGAGGTGCCACTGTCATCATCATAGGAGACAATTTCTTTGATGGGTTACAGGTCATATTCGGCACCATGCTGGTCTGGAGTGAGGTAGGTGTTTTCTGCAAATTAATATCCCATAACCATGTCTGGTTTATAGCCAGTTTTCTTTCTTTTAGGAAATGTGGTATAGGAACAAAGGGAATGCTTTCTAATTCTTCACATTTTAAACAACCAGGGTATTAGAGGCACTTGTGGCATGTATCAGTTTTCCCTGTTTATATTTATGTCTTTATTTATGAAATAAATAATTTAAAAAATAAACCTTTGAACATGCCTGCAGTGTTGCAAATAATCTAATTAGGAGTAACTGATCAGGACTAACTGATCATCCGAAAGGTGCTTTTTCGAACGGCAACTGGACTTTGTTTTTCCTTGAAGACATTTCACTTCTCATCCAAGAAGCTCATTTGAAGAACTGAAGAAACTTCTTGGATGAGAAGAGAAACATCTTCAAGGAAAAACAAAATCCAGTTGCTATTTGAAAAAGCACCTTTGAGGCATATGGATGACAGAGAATCTCCATGGACATCTATCAGTCCTGATAAATAAATGGTTATTTCCAGCATCAGAAACTATAGTTCACTTCAATGTAAACTATGGTTTTGTTGATGACCATAACAATTTAGTCCTCAGTACCCCCTTTTTAAAATAAGAGACTGACTTTGTACTCTATATGACACTATATTCATATTTTGTTTATTTTTGTTTCTTTAATTGTTCTGTGCAATTTTCCCCTCTTTTTTTATACCATCCTTCAATGTCCATTTTACAAACTGGTTTAAATATATGCTCCTATCTGTTGTTCTCTCATGCAATTATTTAATCCAATTATGATAAAATGGCAATTTTAGAAGCAACTTTAACATGGGAGTACACATGAGGCATAAGCCCATCCCAAATACACATACTTCAAAATGTACACAATGCAGGCTAGTACATTTTACTAGTACAATTCTAGTACATTTCTGTTCATTTTGATGGACAAATATTTTATGTCTATTTCCCCAAATATGGAGATCTCAGAAGGGAGAGAAGTTCCTTCTGATTGCCAGTACTAATCTCTGATGACATATTCAAAGCTCCTGGATATAGAGGTCTTCAGACCTTAGCCATTTATACAGGCCTTTCAATTTGGAGACATGTGTCAGGCATCAGAAGTTATGGATGCTATGAAAAGTTAAGGATGCTGATCTACGTATATGGTGCAGAAACTTGTGGGGAAAAAACTAGAATAGGGTTCCAATCTGGTATGCTATTAGGTGCTGCCATCGAAATGGCTGAGATGATGCCTTGAGGTTTATTATTATTTTTTTTATTATTTGATTTATATGCTGCCCTTCTCCAAAGACTCAGGGTGGCTTACAATGCATTAAGCAATAGCCTTCATTCTTTTGTATATTTTATACAAAGTCAGCTTTCCCAGAGTATTCATTTATTTTACCAGAACTATTTGGAGAGTTACTTTCAGTTATAGTAACTGAATTCTAGGCTAAATGGGCACGGACTCATAACTTCTTATGTTCAAATGTCCTGTTCTTACATAGGACAATTGCAAAAATATGATCAAATCAGTGAATCAATCAGGTATCTGTATTTACATTAGATATGTAAAATTATATTATCTGATTATGTGTTTCCTAAGGCCTTTGATGTGCTATTCCATATTACATGATACAACTGCACCATTTCCTTAAAAATGTTGTTTAATATTTATGAATTATATCCACACCAAAACCACTGAACAGTTGTTAGCTGTGCATTTGTCACAATGAATATTCATACTTACCTTTCGCAGACTTAAGTGCACTCTCCATTTTTAGAAGTGCTTTTAAGGAGCTTTCCCTAGGAGATACACAAACCAAAATAAGTTAAAACATCATATATTGATTTTGGTGATTGCAGGATTAAACCCATAGTATTTTTTATTGCTTTTTGATTGAAGAAACAGAACACCAAGACAAAAATTGCAAAATACAGAATTACAAAAGGAAAATAAAGATTTACAGCAAGTGCATAAGTTTTGTATTTATGTATGATTGTTTGATTCTCATTAAAATATTATGGATCATTTTAACATGTTTATAAAAATGTGAACTGCATAACAACATTGTGAATTGTCCAGGGATTTGATTGACAAGTAAGACATGGTAACTTAATAATTGCTATTGGCTTCAGGAGAAGATTCTGTTTGTACCATGGATAATTAAGAATCTCAGTAATAGTAGATATTATTCTTTGTTTAACATATTTCGGACTTTTTTCAAAACAAAGGTAGGCCAGAACAAAACTCTGTCTGTATAAGCAAGTAACATTTATTAAAATCTTAGAATTAATAATTTTTTATCTTGTCTGGGTTACTGAAATAGTCATTACATGACATTTAAATAAATAAATAAAAAGCCTAGAAATAAATGCCATTCACTTTTCACCGCAGACCAGAATGAAATACAGCTAAATACAACTAAATAACTGACGGAAGGAAGTTTTAAAATATCCTTTTTTGATCCCTTCCTGCCCCTATAAAGTATAACAATTGTATTTAAGAATATATTTGAGAAATAAGAAACAAAACAAAGTTTCATTTCTGAAATAGTGTTCTTTTCCTATTTTGCAATTTGCAATGTAAATGTTATAATTTTATTTCCCATGTATTCAAGCTTTGTAATTGCAGTATTTATACGCATGAAATGGAAACTGATTATCAAGTCATTTCTCTTAAAACGCTATGCTGGTGTGAACTTCATTAAAGAAAATAGGACTTCTGCTAACTGAGCATGTGGAAAATAGGAGATACATGTTAAATATGCTGATTTAAAATGATTTTGGGCTACGTATTTATTACTTAAACATATATTTCTAATGTAGGTTCTATAACATAATTGCAACCTTTTTCACTTGGAGGAGTGAATCAGAGCATAATTTGCCCTGCTAATTGTGTATGAAAACACAGATACTTGAGTTTTCAATTAATCTCCAATTAAATTGTCATAATAATCATGATTTTTTTTTAAAAAAAATCACATTTAGAAAAGAAAAGAAAACTATCTTCAATTGGGCTATATTTTGTATACCAGCAGTCAAGTAGAATAGCGTAATCAAATATATATATTTTTACAAAATTTAAATATATCTATATCAGTGGTGAAATCTGAACCAGTTTGCTACTGGTTTGCTGGTCGCACATGCATGCTGCACGCCAAACACATGCGCATGTGTGGTGCACGCCAAACACGTATGCATGTGCAGTGCATGCCAAATGTGTGCACATATGTGGTGCATGACAAATGTGTGTACATGCAGAGTACGCATCAAAGACATGCTGCATGTGCGCATGCGCAGTGCACACCAAAAGGAGGCTTGGGAAAGTAAGTAGAACAGTGAGGGGAGGATCATCTGTGCTGTGCAATTTAAATTCACTAGAAAGTAGGATTTCCTGCTAGTGATTTTAAATCATGCGGCATGCTTGCTCTTCGGAAATACTGGTTCAGAGGAACCAGTAGCTTTTCCTTTTACTACCGGTTCACCGGAACCAGTATGATCTGTCCCCGTCTACACACACACACACAAATACAGCCAGCCGAGGGTTAAGAAAGTACTTGGCACGGACACAGGTCATTATCTCAAACTTAGCAACAATATAAGCACCCTCTGCCAAGAGCTTTACTGCAACAGATAACATAAAATTACATACGCATTGCAAATAGTCCAGCAAAACAATATCCCTTCGGCAGCTTCAGACGTTGTTCAAGTGACTAGCCAGAATTAGTTTTTGTTCATCACGGAGTTTTACCAGCCACCACCCTCTCTTATATAGTCTCTGGGGTGTGGTCCAGTGACTCAGTTCTAATCCCTAGCACGCCTCCTTAACTGTTGCAACCATTTATCACGCCTTTGTTGGCGTGCATCCAGGAACGATGGCTCTCCTTCTTCGCTCTCATCCGAGACACCTGGCTCCTGGCTAATCTCCTCTCCCTCGGCCGGCACCTGAGACAGTGCCAGAGGGGAGGGGCCTGGAGAGGGAGGCCTGGCTGACTCCTCTCCCTCATGTTCAGAGCTTTCTTCCTCCAATGAGATAGGCTCAGAGGGCGGGGCCACAACACAGTAGTGTTTATCGCTACCGGTTTGCCTGAACCGGTGTGAACAGGTAGCATTTCACCACTGATCTATATCATTAGCTTTGTATCTCACTTTTATTTTGTGCAACTCAAAATGTAATGATCCCACATTGTATTTTGTCCATCCCAGCAACTTTATGAAGGTGAGATGGGCTGAGGGGGAATGAGTGACCCAAGGTCACCCAGCTTTAAAGTCTAAGAGAAAACTAAAACTCACTGTCTCCTAATAACTAGCTGTCATATTAAAATTCAGATATTAGCTAGAATAATTAATTGTTAAGATGAGAAAGGGCTATTGCTGCATATACATTATTCCTGTGTGCTTAAAGATATGGAATCCTGAATGACCTTTAATTATTTTTTTATTAATGTGCATTTGTGTGTCATGCATCTGTCATCCTGAATCTGGTTGGTTATATATTCGTATTGCTTGCGTATGATTAATAAAAATATGAAATTCATTGACATGTGATGTGACAATGGCTGCTGGCTTGTGGGTTTTGTTTGCTTAAGTTAGATAGATCGTATAATTATCAAATGAAATCTTCTCCAGGCAAATTATGTCTGAATTACAGATGCTAATAAACAATGAAACAAGGTTATTCTTTTATGCCCTCTTTGTTGACCTTCATTGAAAGACCTAGTTGGTTATTCTTAGAACCAACGAATGGACTAAACATCTAGTAGGGCTCTTTTAAAGTTCCTGTATTTCAAGCCTGCATAGTAATTGTGAAGTTTGTAATTGAGGGAACCATAGCTGATTTTAGTTAAATAAGTAGCCAGTATGTATGGGATGGGGTAGGGAATTGAATTGGAGCAATGATATTAAAGACAAAGACAAAGCTTTAGCCCTGTTTCACTTTCCCCATCAGAATCCTTCCCCATGAACTATTGTGCAAACCACCGATGAATGGTTTACCCCAAGCTAAAGGATAGAAGGGAGAATATATAGATACAACTAAATACCCCAAATATTCTTCTGCAGTTTGTTGATGAGTCAGCTGGTGTGGAAGCTTCCAGAGGAGGGAGGGCATCTGAAAAATTGATGATTTATTCAAATTGTGATCTGAATTGGGAATCTTTCCAGAGTACAGTGATTATGCTCCCGCAGCTCACAGATTCTGAGATTGTGAAGTTTGGAGTAATCTCTGAAGGTACATGGTTTCCAGTGGGGATGGACTGAGATTGCCAGAAAAATCTAGGTACACTAGAAAAGGAACTGACTGATAGATTAATAATAAAGGGACCTGCAATAAAAAACACATAAGGTAATTTAAAAACACATAAGATAATTTATTTTAAAATTTATTCTTTGCAGTTCACAAGGCTTTGGTTTATTCTCTGTATATAGATTTGTCACTTCTTCCTGGTCATTTCATTTCATTTCATTTCATTTCATTTCATTTCAATTTATTTATTTATTTATTTATTTATTTATTTATTTATTTATTTATTTATTTATTTATTGGTTCGATTTAGATGAATTACTTTTGTTCATAATTTCTTTTTTATGTTAAAAAAATTGAATCTTTTTATTTATACAACTAAACAATTGTTAGATAAAACTATCCAGTAATATCATATTGATCCAGTAATATCATATTGATAAAGCTCAAGGCCAGTTAAGAACTGCACTGTCACCACCGAAAGCCAGTGAAACAATGTTCATTTATTTATCAAATTTGTACGGTGCCCATCTCACCAGAGGTGACTCTAGGCAGCTTGCAGAAGACATTAAATAAAGTGCAATAGAAACATTAAAACAAATAAAGATTTTAAATTTAAAAATTGAATTAAAATAAAACTAAGGAAATGGAATGGGCTGGAGCAAAGTGTGCGCAGGAAGGAGGCCAGGTGTTCTCTATTCCATTAGCCACCTCTAATCTGGCACACTCACATTGAGGCCTCTGCAACTAAGTTTGTAGTTTGTCTGAGAAAGACTTTAAATCAGTCTTCAACAAGATTCCAAAAATGCTGTTTTTAATATGTCTTTCTTTATATTATAAATATTGCATTGTTATATCATGGCATGTCTAAGTGTCAACCAACAGGATTAGTTGGAACATGGTAACTTTCTTATAATAGTCCAAACTAATTTTGATAAATTGGTTATACTTTCGTAGCTCAAGGTAAGTGGTAAAGAATCAACAATAACCATTTAAAATTCATAACATATGCAACAATACTGTAGCTGCAATAATTACAGGTCATAGAATAAAGCTGAAATGTGTCAAATAAAAATTAACATTCTGTGTTGTTACAGAAAGACCTACATGCTCAGAATTTTAGAGACAATTTCTCCTATCTTTACATTTAATCAATTGCAATTCCCCAATGAGTTAAGAGAAATATTTGAAGCAGATGAAGTAATGTTGTAGTAGAATAGTTTATTTAAATATCTCAAATGAGAAAGGCTGTTAAAATTGGATCTAATTCCTGATATAAAGAGACACATATATACATAACACACATTCACATATTGTAGTTATTATTTTGTGACCAGGCTTGTGAAAGTGTCATACAACAGTATGCAATTAATACTTCAAAATATTTTAAAGCATACAAAACCAGAATCTCCCAGATGAAACAGAACAAGTATACGAGGTCAGCCTTGTGCTTCTCTCTGTTTCATGGAGTATTCTGCACAGAACAATATTATAATTAACTTTGCCTTCACTGAAATGTGGAAAGCCCTTACTTTTTGCTTGATAGTTTTCTAATAGGACACTCATATTGGATCTGGCATATGCTAGGAGAGAAAAATGGAAATCCTGTGGGATTCCTTAGTATAAAAACTGCAAATTGGTTCAATCAAAAGTTGTGGTTTGTCACAAGAAATTCTCATATCCCAAAATAAATATTTGCTGTGTACGAAAACAGAGCTAATATAATTATGTCTGGGAAATAACATTTGCAAATATTGTTGTCATTGGCTTTTATGCTAGTTATTCCAAGAATACATTCAAACACTGACAGGCTAATTATATATTCCAAAGCTTTGTAGTGTGATCTGAAAAAAATGTGTTATTACATAACTATTCTATATCTAACCAATTTCCTCTATTCTTACAATTTCTTCTAGCTTATTACGCCACATGCTATCAGAGTTCAAACACCACCCCGACATATTCCTGGTGTTGTGGAAGTTACATTGTCCTATAAATCCAAACAGTTCTGTAAAGGCACACCTGGAAGATTTATCTACACAGGTAATGTTGCTTTAATTTTATTTTTATGGGAAAAGATATAGATGACTAATCTTTGGTGGTGTTGCCACTTTGAGACTATGCATTGCAAGCTACTTCTGCTGACAGCTGGCTGTAGTTTGGCAGTTTGAATTCCACCAGGTTTTTTAAATTGGGTTTTGATAGGGGTTTTAAAATGATTTTAGTTGGATATTTTAAATTTGGCTGAATGATTGAATTATTTTAATAAGCTTTTAATTTTTGTTGTATATTGTTTTTACCATGGCTGTTCACCGCCCTGAGTCCCTCGGGAGAAGGGCGGTATATAAATATAATTAACTAACTAAACCAGGCTCAAGGTTGACTCAGCCTTCCATCCTTCTGAGGTGGGTAAAATGAGGACCCAGATGGTTGGGGGCAATATGCTGACTCTGCAAACTGCTTAGAGAGGGCTGTAAAGCACTGTGAAGTGGTATATGTCTAAGTGCTATTGCTACTGCTATTGTAGTAATGAATATTCCAAATTAATGCAATTCCTCCAACACAAAGAAACTTTTCTCTTTTTATCACATGACAATTCAAATAATAATTTGTATCCTGTGAAACATCAAATCACACATTCATTAAGACTTTTACTGATTATATTTCAACAAAAAAATAATAACATCACAGTCTGACTAAAAAATCAAGTTCACAGGGAGAGGAAAACATTTCGATGACTTGGCTGTTAGTCATATCTCTTTAGAAATTTGAAAGATTGAGTGTAAAGTTAAAGGAATCAGCACTGTGTTTGCTTTCTACATCTATATTCTGCCTTCTCACAAACTAAAGCTCAAGGCAACATGAAGCAGTGATCATAGAATTAAATACAATGATACATATGGAGTCTAATACAGGTCTGATAACTTATTAGAAGGAAGAAATATATGTCCTCTAATGGCTTGAGAAATTTTCTGGATAGATCATTTGTTCCTGTCCAACTTACCAGAGGCTATTATTCTCTGTTGATTATCAGGCGTTCTGATCTTCATCCAAGTATTTTATAAATGTTGAGTATGTTTTCTATGTTTGCTTGAGAAGTTTTGTGTGTGTTTTCAGAAGTCCATGCCCCTCTCTCAAGTATTTGATAGTATACTTAGAGATTTTCCCCAAATATCTTAAAAGCCTTTCTACTGTATACAGAAAGAAGTTGACTTTCCTTGGGTTGGTGCCTCAGCTTGATTCCCTAACACGTAGAGTTAAAGGTGGTATCCCTAGATGAATGAGGATCTCTCTGGAAATACTGGAACATATTTTTGTTGTTGTGTTTTCCTATTTTACAAGTTTTAAGAGGAATATAAATGACAGCATGAGGTTTCTAAAAAGTGGATCTCTCCCATTTCATCAGCCAATCAATCAATCAATCAATCAATCTCAAAACTGCCAAAAATCGTTTCACAGAAAATATAATGCTGTCTTTATTTTTAAAAGAGATTTTTTTTTTCCTGCCAGATGGCAATTGCACAAACTCCAGGTGCTTGACTTCCTGTCAATAGTACTATATTAGCAGCCTGGATGTACAGTTGTCACTCCTCCTGCTGGCAGAAGAGATAGATAAGGAAACTGCAGTCAAGTAAAAGGCATCCTTTAAAATAGTAGAAATGGAGTTTCAGCCTTTCAGTGCTGTGTGGAAAATTGGGAGTGGCAGCAACTGAATGATACTATAGGATCTTCTAACCGCAGTTACAGTAGTATGCTTGTTGAATTGAAGCTTGTAAGAGTATGATAGTGCGTGCATAAGCGCACCAGTGTGCCTACCATCCCTGTCCTAATGTTCCCTTTTATTTTTATTTGTATCCATTTCATGTATTCATAATTATGTTTATACATATATCTGTTATCTATTTCATGCTTGATGAAATAAATAAAATAAATAAATCAATAAAAATAAATAAAATAAACAGCTGATTTGATAGTCCAGCCCTCAATGGGACTTGGCCTGGAGTCAAATGTCTTGTCACCTCATGAAGTTTGCACCCATGATTAGCAGAATATAAAAAACAAACAAATAGATAAAAAACAGAACTAGAGTTAATAAGCATATTGGTAATTAGAGATGGATGAGAAACACATTCAATTTTCATTCAATGCAAGCATGAAATTTGCTTTTCTTCAGCATTTATACAAAAACCCCACATACAAAAATTTGGAGAAAATGTGAATTTTCTCACAAACAAACAAAAAATTTCCTTCCTTCCTTCCTTCCTTCCTTCCTTCCTTCCTTCTTCCTTCCTTCCTTCCTTCCTTCCTTCCTTCCTTCCTTCCAAAATAGGCCAAGCAAAGAAAAGAAAAGTAATAAATTGCAGAAAATCAGAACTGATAATTTCCCGCATAACAAGCTCACCACATCTCAGAGAACATTTTATGTTTTTGATTATAAATAAGGGTAAAAACAAGGGGGATAAACATAGACTAATGACCAAGGAACTGAACAAAGTTTCTCCAGTGCCATTTTCAAAATACCTGCCAGTCCTGGACACTTAGCTATGCTACTGGAGTTATGAGTGTTGTACTTCAAAATATCTGTACTCCAAAATTCTTAGAGAAATAGCTTGCCTACTCTGTGGTTGATGTTTTAAAAAATGTCAGAATATTCCAGCAAAACCAATGGAAATTCTCAATTCAGATAATCCCACTCTCCATTTCAGTAGTACACTAGCCACACTTCTAGATGGCTCTCTTATCTAGTTATTCCTGGACTTAAGGTATCTTTAAAACTCTTGTTCAAAAGATTCAAATCTTGGAAGCTAAATACAGAATGTTGCTGCTGGTGGGGTTGGGAGCAGAGAATACAAATAATGAAATTATACCTATTCTACGTGTTATAATGGGACCTCACTAGCGCCTTTATTCACTTGGCCAGCTCTAATATGGGCATAGATGTAGAAGACCCCTCTCTCCAAGGATGTTTCCCATACTCTCAGGTCATAATATGGAAATTTCCATTATAAAGGGTCAATTCAGAAATCAAAAAGTCAAGGAGTCAAGATTATATGTTTGATTGCACTGACCACTAGGAATAGGAATATATAAATGGGTGATACATTAAAGGACATTTGGAGGCTATGAAGATTATCTATCTATCTATCTATCTATCTATCTATCTATCTATCTATCTATCATATCTATCTATCTAATCTATCTATCTATCTATCTATCTATCTATCTATCTATCATCTATCTATCTCAACAAAGGACTCTGAACCACAAAAATTCATAAAATAAAAAAATGAAAAACAAAGCAATCAAAACAGTAGAAAATAAATATATATGGCATTAGGTAAGATTGTTTCCATAAGTGAAGAAATGGGATCCTTCATACACCTGAGCATAAGCTGAGCATAAAACTAACTTCACCACAGTCCTGCCATGCTTGCCTGCCTTCCATGCTGCCTTCCTGGCATCCCGGGGGCCAGCTTGTGAAGGCAGGCAAGCAGAAGTCCACATGGAAGGCAGGCAAGCATGGCAGGGCTGCGGGGAAGGAGCTAGCAGCTTACTGCCCCCCCCATTCAAGCAATGGTTTCCCTGCTCAGCCCCGACAAGCTATGCACCCATAGCAATGGGGTTGTTTTGTTCGCCGCGGTGGTGCTTCTGGAGGGCAGGTGGACATATTCATTATAGTTGCCAGCTGCAGACGTCCACCTGCCCTCCCGAAGTACCATCTCGGGGAACAAAACAACCCCATTGCACTGCGCCTCCTTCTGCAGCCAAACGCGCCCAGCCGTGCGTGCCCTTTCCTCAAAGGGCTGTGCATGGGGCACTTGGAGAGCAAGCGAGCAAGAGAGCTCTCCAACTTCTGTTTGAGTGTGTGTGTGAGGGAGGGAGGGAGAAAGGAAGGAAGGAGGGAGCGATCTGAAGCCGAGGCACCCAAACTTCTGGCAGCAGTGCGGGCGGTTTCTGAGCAGCCCCGTCAGCCAGCTCCACCTAACCTACTCCCTGAGTCTCGCCGTTCTCCTTGCCCCCCCCCACATCCCACTCAAGCAGCGGCAGGCTCTGCGGGACAACAGGACCTCTCATCTTTCCCACAGCATGGTGTACGCTTGTTACCTCTGCTTGTCTGCTTGCAAGCGATGATCTTCTCTGCTTCTCTTGGGATGCTAGTGCGGGCACCATGGATGCATAGCTTGTTGGGGCTGAGCAGGGAAGCTGCTGCTTGAGTGGGATGGGGGTGGGATGGGGGTGGGGCAAGGAGAACGGCAAAACTCAGGGAGTAGATCAGGTGGAGCTGGCTGCTCAGAAGCTGCGCCCGCCGCTGCCAGAAGTTTGGGTGCCTCAGTTTCAGATCGCTCCCTCCCTCCCTCCCTCCCTCCCTCCCTCCCTCACACACACACACACACACACACACACACACACACACACACACACACAGAGGTTGGAAAGCTGTCTTGCTCGCTCTCTCTCCAAGCACCCCATGCACAGCAGAGTGATGTGAATGATGTCAAACTGGCCACGCCCACCCAGTCACATGACCACTAAGCCAAGCCATGCCACACCAAGCCACACCCACAGAACCGATAGCAAAAAAATTAGATTTCATCCCTGGTTGGGGGTCATCCTGATATGTGAAGGGAGAATATTCCAAGGCATAGGTTCTACACAGCAGAGAAGGCATGTCTCCTAGTTCCTGGCAACTGACATTCCTGCAACATGCCCAACCTGCCTGACCAAATTGAACAAATGTAGTACATATCTACATGAAAACATTTTTTCTGAGTACTGTATCAGCCTGCTAACACTGAAAAACTCAGTTTGACTGTGCAGTAAATGAAAGTTTGGCAGCTTTCCTGAGTTATCTCAACTGCATGCACCAGACGTACAGAGTGATAACACAGAGCTAAGCATGAGGAGAATTTTGGAAGGACTATGTCTGAATAACCTGGCTTCAGGACATGTGCCAGAAACTGCCACAGACATATGACCATAATTTTTCAGCACATTTATGTTTGAAAATGATAGTGAAATTAAAACTTGATCATACAATGCCA